CCCACTGACCCCCAATGTAAGGGACATTCTTCCCACTGATCCCCAATGTAAGGGACATTCTTCCCACGGACCCCCAATGTAAGGGACATTCTTCCCACTGACCACCAATGTAAGGAACATTCTTCCCACTGACCACCAATGTAAGGAACATTCTTCAAATGCACAGAATACGGGAGTCAAGAGTACATAGCACAGGGTTCAGGGGTCAGGAGTAAGTAATATACCGATTTCAAGGTTTGGGAGTGCATAACACCCAAAGTGCAGGGGTCAGGAGTTCTCAATGTACAGAATGCAGGGGCCAAGCATGTGTACCTCAAGGGTCAGGAGTGTGTAACTTACAATGTATAGGTGTCAGGAGTCCATAATGCAGAGTGCAGAGTTTAGGCGTGTGTAACACAGAGCGTAGGTGTCAGGAATGCGTAGCGCACAAACTACTACTACTCTCTCCCCAGTACAGCTCTGCCCCTGCATACAGCTCTCCTCCAGTACAGCTCTCCCCCTCAATACAGCTCTCCTCCATTACAGCTCTCCTCCTCAATACAGCTCTCCTCCAGTACAGCTCTCCCCCTCAATACAGCTCTCCTCCAGTACAACTCTCCCCCTCAATACAGCTTTCCTCCAGTACAGCTCTCCCCCTCAATACAGCTCTCCTCCAGTACAGCTCTGCCCCTTCCGTTCAGCTCTGTCCCCCCAGTAAGCTCTTCCCCCAGCACAATTCTCCCTCTCTATAAAACACACTAACCCGACCACGGCAGTCCAGAGATAGGGAAAGTAAGTAAGAGTGTCAGGAGTGCATAAGATAGAAATCAGGCAACAAATTACCTTCCACCCCAAGCCTAACTTGCCTCCCCATACACATATCCCCCCCCTGTACAGATTCTCTGTCACGGCACGGCTATTCCTCAGTACAGCTCTCCTCCAGTACAGCTCTCCCCCCAGTACAGCCCCCCCAGTACAGCTCTCCCCCCTCAGTACAGCTCTCCCCCCCAGTACTACCCTCCCCATCAGTACAGCTCTCCTTCCCCCAGTACAGCTCTCCCCCCTCAGTACAGCTCTCCCCCCAGTACTGCCCTCCCCATCAGTACAGCTCTCCTTCCTCAGTACAGCTCTCCCCCCAGTTCTACCCTCCCCATCAGTACAGCTCTCCCCCCTGTACAGCTCCCCTCCCCCCAGTACAGCTCTCCCCCCATTACAGCTCTGCCTCCTCAGTACAACTCCCCTGTACTGGGGAGACATCATGGGCATGCCCCCAGTATTTATTGGAGGATAAAAGTGGAACTTCCTCTGTCCAGGAGTATTTGATGTAATGGGCCACTCTGATGGGGACAATTGATGTGAAGGAGCATTTTGATGAGGATTCCTCATGTAAGGGGGGACTCTTGATGTAAGGGGGACTCCTGATGTAAGGGGGGCTGTGATGAGAACTCCTGATGTAAGGGGGACTCTGATGGGATCTCCAATTGTATGAGGGCACTCTGATGAGGCCTCCTGATATAATGGGGCACTCTGATGAGGACTCCTGATATAATGGGGCACTCTGAAGGGAACTGCTATTGTAAGGGGGCACTCTGATGAAGACTCCTGATATAAGGGGGCACTCTGATGATGACTCCTGATATTTTATCAACACAATGCACCACAATGTACAGCATGCACCTCATGGTGAGCCCCAGTACAGCGCTCTGCCTGCTTCTGTATTACCAGTACGCATGTTGCCATAGAGATAATCATGTTGATGCTCATTACTGCGATGCATAGATCTGGGTGGATCCCAAAACTTTACCATCATCCTCTTCTTTGTACCTATCAGGAGTCATCATGACCAAGTGGATCCCCCAACCCTCCTCCCCTCTGATCTGCTTCCTGTCATCTCTCTGCACCGGACTCCTCTTCATCATCATCATCCTCCTCACCACCATCACACGTGAGTCCGTGCTCCCTGCCTTGCCACGCAGACCTCACATTCTGTTCACATTGTAAGAATTGCAATCAGCACCATTTCTGAACAGCTGCTCTCCATTAGTATTGTATCGTGTTTGCTGAAGCATTGGGAGAGGGGAACAACAAAGAACGGCCACTACAAGGGCGACAATGGAAATGTCTGCCTTCTGTTATCGGATTTGATGTGGGGTTCCATCCATCTGGGAGGACAGATAAAATGACACACAGACAGAAAGAAGATGGTAGATGGGAAGACAGTGGGGGAGGAGATTTTTGCTGCCACAGTTGAGTTGGATAAGGCGAGTCGATTCCCTGGTTATCGGTGTCACAATCGTGATGATGTGGATGGACCTTCCCATCATCCTAATCATCTCCTCTGACCAATAGAGGAGCTTTCCCATCACCCGCAGTTTGGAGGAGGAGAGTTTTTTTAATTGCCCCCAAATTTCTGCACAAATTGGAAAATGTGAAAATGATTGGACCCAGTGGGGTAGGTGAAAGTATGGTGGTTGGTGGTTTTTAGTGGGCCTGACCTCAAAAAGTGAGGATTTTCTACCTCATAGAGAACATCTAGAGCTCTTCATTGTGCCTAAGCTGTCCCCTGAGAAATTTGCCTTCTACTTTGAATCCCTCTGGAAAAATACTAGGGCACTTCCTTTGACTCGGTGCTTCTCTTCCACACCCTTACAGCTGTGTATCTGCAGTGTGAGATCACCTAAGACACTACTGCCAATTACTGCTAGTTTTGCCAGACTTGGAGTGAGATTTGGTGATATCACTATTGTGCTGGTCCCTGTTCTCCTCGCTGGAGATGATGCTGTACCTGAGGAGCTGAAAGGATCTCCCTGCTCCTGCTTCATCCATTCTGTGAGTCTGTACTTCAGCCACTGCTATCATTTCCCCCTCCACTCATCAGATCACCAGTCAATTGGTTAGGGAGAACTCTGCCATGAGGAAGCAAAGCCCTGTTGCTCTACCAAGATGGCAGAATAATTCATGGTAAGACAGTAATGGGGAAAAGGTCAGCTGCAGGGCACCCCAGGGCAATGCTAATGACTAGTCTTTTGTCCCCTGCCTGCCTCCCTTAAAAGGGCCCTCAAAGTTACCAAAGCTCCTAACCTGGTCCCACTCTCGTGAGGACTCTTGTGGGACATCTTCTGTACCGCTCTAGGTGGTCTGTAGGTTTTGCTGCATCCATTTCACACTGGTAGACTGGCACAAATGTCTTCCTTTTTGAAAGATTCTATACAAACGGGTGAATACCCGGTGAATTCTTAAGCGGTGCAGGTTTTGGAGATACTCATTCACCTTCAGGTACAAATCACAAAGCGGACTATACAGCTTTAAGCAGCAAGCTATGGATCTATCTGCTAGTCTACTTTTTACCAGGTCCATTGAAGTGTTATCTTGGACCCCTTTCACACGGACGTTCTGATCGGGTCCATCTGCCCATTTTTCAGTCGGACCCGATTGGAATCTCCATTCTCCTCTATGGAGACATCTAATACGATCTGGAAAAAAGGGACGGATGAGGATCCAATTCCCCCTCCATCCGTTGGATTGGGTCGGATGGAAATGGACAGGCGGTCCATTTCGATCTGACTGCCCATTGGTGACAGCGAGCTGAATCAGTGTCCGCTCTGAAGCAGCGGAGCGGACACAGACCTGTCAACTGCTTGCTCAGCGGGGATAAGTGGAGAGATCCCCCGCCGAGTAAGTGGATCCGCTAACGGGTCTGCCCCATGTGAGAGGATCCAGAGTCCCCAAGCCCTCATGAAGGGGGTCTGTGCTTCCCTCCCAAAATGTATTGTTTTTTTTATAGGTAGCACCCTCCTAGTTCACAGTAGGCTTCTGGGTAAAATTAGTTGGCTCCTCTGTAGCAGTGTAGCAGGGGTTGATTGCTTGGGGCTGTTTAGTGTCTCACAGGCTGCTGTTCTGCTATGTCATCCGACTTCTAAAGATTCTGGAAGTATAGTGGGAGGGAGAGCAGGACAGTCAGCCTGAAGATTTATGAGACTCTGGCCAGTCCCTAGGAAGGTGTGCCCAGAAGGTGAGGGAAGAGCCCATAAATATTTCAAGGTACTGGCAGCAGAGTGCAGAATTCTAGAGTTCAGCCTTCTGGAGTAGACCTCTGTGCTGGGGGCTCTGCCCCTGGGTCATAGAGGGAAAAGGAGAGGAAGCTGAGAATCCCTTTTTGAAGGTATAGACTTATTGGGGGGCTACCTGAGAGAGAGAGAGAGAGAGAGAGAGAGAGAGAGAGAGAGAGAGCCTGGATCAGAATCTGAGTAGAACAAGGAGAGTTGGTGACTGAAGGGTAATTTATCTTACAAGCCACTGCAGGGCAGCCATAAGTTGTGCAAGGAGGCCAGGAGCGAGCAATGCTGGTAATGAGTGCTCAGTACAGCCGGGAGCTGTGCTAGACAGCCATGACTTGTACTAGTCAGCCAGGAGAAAGTACAGTGTACCTGAGGCTGTGCAAAACAGCTCAAATTTTTGTACACAGCATCTGAAAGCCTAGCAGTCCTCAAGTTTCCACAGCTCTACAATTAGGAGTGTCCCATGCTCCCCATCCCTAACCAAGCTCCTGTTCCCAATAAAAACCCTAAAAGAAACCCTTTGACTGATTCTGGAGCCAAAGGAAGAATGCAGGAAATGCTGTGCATCTGGTGTGAGTGGAGAGAAATAGGCCCAGATTACCGACAGTGCAAGTGGGGTTAGCACTACACATATGATCTTTACATGAAAAAGTAAAAAATCGTTGGACTGAAATCGTTCACCATTGTGTTTGGCCCTTGTGAGGTATCAGTCACATTCTGGGAACCCACCGAAGGGAATCCTTGGTTTTCACTTACAGTAAGCAGCTTTAGCAGAGCATGGCAGCTCTTCAAATGATTGTGGCTTCTCCATTTACTTGGGATGAATGAGTATCGAAGTCCCGGAACATCTTGGATAGATGACACTCCTTCCTTGCGGAAGTCCACACAGCCCATGACAATGAAGGTAAACGGGGGGTCACTAATATGAAATATTGACTTTGTCTCTGGCAGGTCAAGGGGTGGATCAGACGGAGCACATCATGGAGTTGAAGTTGAGGAATCTGAGTCTAGAGGTGCAATCCAGAGTGAAGGGACTGTCCCAGCATGGTAAGATGGACCTACAAGTTGTGCTGAGGTTGACACTAGGTAATGGGGGTCTGATCTACTCACTAACTGAATGTTCTCTTTCACTAGATTCCTTAATGATGGAAAAACTGAGGGCCATGGAAACCTTTGTGAAGGACATCAGAAGTGAGTTGGTGGTGGAGGTTGTTGTAAAGTGAGGTTATGTACAGAGTGTAGAGCTATGATCCCTCAAAGCACACGGGATAAATCCAATGTGCCGTGTGTGTGGTTCACAGGCATGTATAAAACCGAGGAATTTGTATTTGTAATCCAATCTTCATTTTTCTTTTTCTGCAGATTTTGGGATGATGAATAAAATTGAGGAAATTGAATCCTCCATGAAATATATTTTATCCGACGAAGTAGCAGGTAAGTTACAGACTGTAATAATGAATGGGGGAACCTATAATGGGCTCAGTAGATGACCCTATACAAACCTCCAGCTGTCCCTATACCAACAGATCCTGATTACTGGACCTACATGGATGGGGAACAATTACTGGGAATGGCTGGGACTTGCTGGAACAGTACAATGTGAGGAGGTTTTGGGGGAACTCTTGGATTCATCAGTAATTTTCCGACGTCTGTAAGAAGCAGTGGAACATATATTTATAGGAATGCCACCTGCTGTTTCTGGGGACATTCGACTCAATTCAGCTTTAAATAGAAATTCTTAACATACATACCAAAAACCCTACACCAAACCTTGTAAATGCTTAAAGCAACCCACACAACCTACATGAAGAGACCCATACAATGGCGGGACATAGAACAATGGCCCCAATGCATTGGTGATGATTAGAGATCAGCTGAATGTTTGAGCAGGGTTCGGTGAACATAAGTAAAGGTTGGGTGCCGATTCCAAATCACTTACATGGAGGGCTTTTGTTTTCTCAGAGAATGGGTGCAGGAACTCTCCCTTCCAAATTACCCCTCATTTCCACCCCTACCCACTTCCGAGCACCGTTCCTTGGTTCCACACCCCCACCCACCTCCCTGTACTGCTCCTTTTAGAGAATACAGAGCCAAGTATCATTTTATAGGGCTAAGTATTTTGTATGGAGTTTGTTAATGGTAAGAAGAAAAGCAGTAACATAGATCCCCTTCATCCAGCAATAATAGATGACCCGCACCACCAATAATAGATCCCCCACAACAATAGACCTCCCAGCAACAATAGACCCACCCCAGCCACAATGGATCCCCTGCACAACAGTAGACTCCCCACAAGAAAATACCACCCCAGCAACTACTGGACTCGGTAGCCAGCATCAATAGACTTCCCCCTCAACAGTAGATCCTTTCCAGGAGCAATTAACCCCCCAGCAACATAAAACCTCTAAGAAACAATGTATTTCCCACCAGCAACAATAGATCCCCCAGAAGCCAGCATCAATAGACCCTCTAGTACACCCCAGCACCCCTTGCCATTACATACATTCAGTGCTGGAGGTGCAGAGCTGTGTTCCCTCACATTCCTGCTGAAAAAAAGACCTGCTTCCAAGTCAATGGGAGATGAAAACAGTTTTTGATATTTTCTAGGCTAATAGACAAGGGATTGTTAAACAAAATGGCATGGGGAGCTGGGTATTGTCAGGGGGGGGGGGGGGTATCTACCAAAGCAAACAAAATGTACAAAGAAAAAATCAGTTTGATTGGAAGTAGTGATTTTAGTAATATTTAAAATGAAACATTAAACATTTAAAAGACCAATAAATAACATGTAAGGGGGGGGGGGGGTGCCATGACCCTGCCTGACCCTGATAACTTCTCACCCATGACTGGCAGCTTTTGCAGATTACATCTAGGTATAAATAAAGGGCGGGGTATCCGGTGATGTAATTGGCCAAATATGGACATGACCATATCTGGTTGATGATGTCACTGGGGCACAGACAATGGTAAAGACTGTCAGGGGTTCTAATTCCTCTCTGAATGGTTTGGTATGGAATTCAGGGAATCATTTTTTTTGACTGGGGATTCCTGGTCTGTAAGTTAATGTTGCTAAGGATGCATAAGGTGCCAGCAACCAATGATAGGAAGGAATTTGTCATGTATCGTAGTGGTAGAAATATCTCTTCTATACATGCTATTCAGCTCCCATCCAATTATTAAAAAGTCCAGCGTTAGGATGAATGCCAAAGCAGCCAAATTTCAATGATAACTTGTGCATGGATCGAACTTTGATCTCATCCCTAGCGATCATTGTAGAAGTGATTATTTACATTGGATGTCAATGGAAAATTGCCCTATACATTTGTGGTTATTATGGGTAGGAGATCAATCTGTCACAACTCAAGGAACCCCTAGCAACCTCTAGAGGAACTATAGGGTCCTATGGGACCTCTGGTTGAACAAGCCTGGCATAGACAAGCGTACTCTTCCAACCTTGTGGTAACAGTTTGGGGAAGAGACTTTTCTGTTCCTCCATGACTGTGCCCTGTGTACAAAGCCAGCTCCATAAAGACATGGGTGACCAGTTTGGTATGGAGGACTTCCAGCACAGAGCCCTGACTTCAACCCTACTGAGCATCTTTGAGATGGAACACCAATGGTGATCAAGGTCTTCTCATCCAACATCAGTACCTAACCTCATAAATGCTCTTTTGGATGACTGGGGTTCTAGACTTCCCCTGTGTTTTCCTGCCTTGTGGCAACAGTCCTTATCAATTCCAAAAAGCTTCATAGAGACATGATTTGACCAGTTTGGTTTGCGGAACCTAAATGTCCTGCACTGATCCCTGACCTCATTTCTACTGAACAACTTTGGGTGAATTGAAATGCTGATGTTGAATCAGGTCTTCTCATCCAACATCAGTACCTGACTTCACAAATTAGCAAAAATTCCCACAGACACTTTCCAAAATCTTGTGGAAAGCTTTCCAAGAAGAGTTGGGGATATTATAGTCACAAAGCAAGGGGGGGGGGGGCGCAACATATAGTTGTGGATTTTACTGGGGGGGAGAGAGAGATAGGGAGGGAGAGTGTTCTATCATAAAGTTCAGTCTGTCTACAAGATGGACCAGGCAAAACTGTTACACATAATGGTTGCTTTTGTGCTGAAATGAACACTACAGGTTCTTTTTCAATATCAATGGCCTTAGTTTTGGAACGCCCAACAAGCTCCTTATGTTATGGTCAGGTGTCCATATACAGGTAACCACATTCAGTAGTATATCTGCAGCATGAATACACACAACTTTTCCTGGTTGAGTTAAAGTCAAGGTTTCTCCAGGATTTCAGCAGGCGGCTGCCACCTAAATTAGGTGTTCGTTGACATGGAGAGGCACATACCCAATAAAGAGTAGCTGAACAAACTTCTCCAAGATGATCCAAACAAAGCTAATTAACCTTCAAGCAAAATGTCTTCAATTCAGAAGACATTTTCATTCATTTTTCAAAGAAAGACAAGACAGACACAGACAAAGCAATTTTCAGTATTTTAAACTGGGTAGAAGTAAATAACCAGACTGTCAAGTTTGGAACTAATAGTTCAGCTTTGTAGAACCAAATCTGGATTGTAATTATGCCAACCTAAAACGTCCTTCTCCAAATCACTGAATCAGGCTTTCCTGGTGGAGATGTGAAGAACCCAGATTTGTGGATCTCCTCAGTAGAAAGTAGGGTTTGCATTCTTTGGTTCTACTCAGACAGTGAAAAGTCTTTTTGCTGACAAATGAAACCAACCCCAAACAACGTCCCACCCGATAAAAACAAATTCTAAAAAAAAGGTAGATTTCATCTTTCAGTCAATTTCTTAAAGGCAACTGAGTGTTTTAGTCCGTCAAAATCTCACTGACAGCAAAATCCATAATTTTTGTAATCATTTTTAGCTGGTTACAAATGAAGTAATGATCCCTTCCTCCTAACAACCTCTTTCCTTACTGTGGGTTCTGCTCTGTCTTTTTTTACATTAAAGCCCAGAATCATCCATTCAAACATTCCCCCTTCCCCCATAAAAAAAACAGCTGGCATATTAATCAGCATATTCCTTTTTATTTCAGGTTCTTTATCCAATGATAATCAGAGGATTTTGACAGCTCTGGGCGACCTGGCTGAGGAGATCTGGAAGGGAAACAGTAAGTTTCTCTTATGCACCTTGCCCACCAAGTCATCATTTCCCAGAATGCCAATGGAGTCAAAATGCTCCACACTGCCTTGTCAGTCTCTGGCCTCTTCAGGTCTGAGAAGCCCCATATTGTACAGTTCAGTTTTGGGTGGATTCTAATAATGGACACGTTTCTTCTATCTGAAGAGCTGAGGATAAGGGTTGAACTGTATGACATTGATAGTTCCTTCAGATATGTAAGGTCTACATTGTTTAGAACAGAGGTCAGCATCCTCGGCATTCCAGCTGTTGTGGAAATATAAGTCCCATGTGGCATTGCAAGACTGACAGCCACAGCACAACTTCTGGAGGTATGATGAGATCTGTAGTTTCACCACAGCTGGATTGCTGAGATTGCTTACCTCTGGCTTAGAGGGTTAAAAGTCTGCAGATCAATTCCATTCTTAAACATCTTTTATCAAAAAGGATGAATCTGCACAGACATACCATCAAGGAACATAAAGAAGATGACCTCTGCACACCTGTAGGACACCATTTCGCACAACCTGGCCACACAATGGGAGACCTCAATATTTTAGTTCTTAAAGGAAATTTTCATATCCATCCAGGAAAGAAAAACTTTTGAACTAAGAATGATAATTCTATTTGACACGAGAGATAACGGCCTGAATTTGGACATGGGATTCCTCACTCATTATCCAACAGTTTTATCACCTCAAGCATCACTGCCTCTGTGAGTGTAGTCTCCCCCCTCTCCAGGCTTTGCTTTTGCTGTGTCTTATCTTATTTGTTCTCCTTTTTTTTTTTTTTCTTTTTTTCCTTCCAACTCCAAAACATCTCTTCTAACCCTTTGTGATCAGTACTGCTTTGACCTGAAGAAGGGGACACTCCCCGAAAGCTTGTCCTTAAAATTGTTTGTTAGTTCAAATAAAAAAAGTATCACGGGCAGTACTCAATTGTTTTTATCAAAAATAAAACTCTAAAAAATAAACACAAGCTACACACTAGGTGAAGAACCTTTGGAAGAATCAAGGAAGGAAAAAGATCTGGGGGGGTCCAAGTAGATGACAGGCTCAGCAATAGCATGCAAAAAGGACAATCAGGGCTCCAGATCAGCGTGGGTTAAAACATAGAGACTTTATTACAAAAGCACTTACATGTGAAACTCCCTCGGTCAGCATCCAGGATGCATGCAATAGGCAGGAACAGTGGAGCCACAGGTCACTGGGATAGTGGAGTGGATGATCACTGCCCAGACTGGGGAGAGACCTGCTCATTGGACTCCACTGTGTCTCTCCGTGCCTTTTCGCCAAGTGATGAAGAAAGCTTGACAAAGGAGGCGGAGCTTCTGAAACGCATTGCGGCCCGCCCACTCGCCATTCACGGCACCTGTCACATCTGATCTGGCGCCCAGCTTGTCCTTTTTGTTTGCTTCTGAAGGATTCCCCACATCCCAGGCGAGGACTATTATTTATTCCATCATTGTGCGAGTACTGAATACGCTTGTCTGTTGTACAAGATGATTACTTTCAGCAATAACATGCAATGCCAAGCTGCAGCAAGCAAGGCCAGCAGAATATTATCATGCATAAAAAAGGGTATTTACTCCAGAGATCAAACTATAATTCTAACACTTTACAAAACTCATTGAATAGTACAATATGGGTCACGTCTTGAGTATGCCATCCACTTCTGGACACCAGTCCTCAGGAAAGATGTGCTGGAACTGGAGAGAGTCCAGAGGAGGGCAACAAAACTAATAAGGAAGATGGAGGACCTCAGCTATGGGGACAGAGGGTCTCAGTTATGGGAGATGGAGGATCTCAGTTATGAAGGATCTCTGTTATGGAGGATGGAGGATCTCAGTTATGGGGAATGGAGAAGCTCAGTTATGGGGAATGGAGGACTTCAGATATGGAAGACTGAAGACCTCAGTTATGGGGGATGAGGATCTCAGTTATGGGGAACTTAGGAGCTCAGTTAAGGGTGATGGAGGACTTCAGATATGGAAGATGGAGGAACTCAGTTATGGAAGATGAAGGACCTCAGTTATGGAAGATGGAGGAATTCAGATACAGAAGGTGGAAGACCTCAGATATGGAAAATGGAGGACCTCAGTTATGGAAGATGGAGGACCTCAGCCATGGGGGCTGGAGGACCTCAGTTATGGAAGATGGAGGACCTCAGTTATGGGGGATGGAGGAGCTCAATTATGGAAGATGAAGGACCTCAGTTATGGGGGATGGAGGAGCTCAATTATGGAGGAGCTCAGTTATTGAGGATGGAGGACCTCAGTTTTGGAGGATGTAGGAGCTCAGTCATGAAGAATACAGGAGCTCAGTTATGGAGGATAGAGTGTCTCAGTTATGTAGGATGGAGACGCTCAGTTATGGGGAATGGAGGACCTCATTTATGGGTGATGGAGGATCTCATTAATGAAGGATTGAAGAGCTCAGTTATGGGGTGTGATGGAACACCTTTCATCAGAGAACTACATCCTCACCGCTGGGACACAGGACCAAGGTATTATATCCGGGCACCGTACACAATACTAGGTGACAGTAGCTTAGGTGCAGAACTGGAACTCCTTTATTGAACAGAAATACTGATTTTTATCCACTTCAGGAATAGGGGAAGTCCCCACATTAACAATACAAACAAATATTATACTGTACATTAGGATAAACATCCCACAATGGTTTGGTAACAAGGTAAAGTGGACACAATACTAATTACATCTCCAGGAGGACTAGCAGACAGACAGACAAACAATTATCTCAATTAACAATGGAATGCACACCTACGGGACACGCAATGGGAGAAAGATAGTAAACACATAACACCTTAATAAACATATTACACATAACAAGCAAGAGTCCTCAGCATCAGGTTGTTTTGAGCTGATTATATCAACATCTGCTTAGAGTCTCTGAGTCTAGGAAGGGAGGGTTGAAGCAGTCAATGCTGGTTTGGGCAAAGAGACCCCAAATCTGTATCCTGGTCCGTCAGCTCTCAGAGTCCATAATATGTGTTTTGGGGAGACATGGACTTGAATCTGAAGTAAACGACTCCAAAGGTCCTCCCAGGCACATACCAAAGAATACAGCCCCCGTCCAATGCATGCGCAGTAGGCAAGAGGCTAGCCTGCCGTCCCCTCCCATAGACCCTGTCCCGGTTGGGTCTGTCACATGGAGGATGAAGGACTTCAGCTATGAAGGATGGATGACTTCAGTTATGGGGGATAAAGTACCTCAGTTGTGGTAGATGAAGTACCTCAGTTGTGGGGGATGAAGTACCTCAGTTATGGTGGATGGAGGACCACAGTTATGGGGGATGGAGGAGCTCAGTTAAGGGGGATGGAGGGCCTTGGTTATGAAGGATGGATGACCTCAGTTTTGGGGAATGGATGACCTCAGTTATGGGGGATGAAGTACCTCAGTTATGGGGGATGAAGTACCTCAGTTGTGGGGGATCAAGGCCCTCAGTTACGGGGGATGGAGGACCACAGTTATGGGGGATGGAGGGGCTCAGTTAAGGGGGATGGCGGGCCTTGGTTATGAAGGATGGTGGACCTCAGCCATGGGGGATGGGATACTGAGGTTATAGGGGATGTAGGATCTCAGTTATGGGGGATGAAGGACGTCACTTATGGGGAACAGAGGATGTCACTTATGGGGAAACGGAGGACGTCACTTATGGGGAAATGGAGGACCTCAGTGTTGGAGAACGGAGGACCTCAGTTATGGGAGATGGAGGACCTCAGGTATAGGAAATGGAGGACCTTGGTTATGGGAGATGGAGGACTTCAGTTGTGGGTGATGGAGGACCTCAGTTATGGGAGATGGAGGACCTCAGTTATGGGAGATGGAGGACCTCAGTTATGGGAGATGGAGGACCTCAGTTATGGGAGATGGAGGACCTCGGTTATAGGAGATGGAGGACCTTGGTTATGGGAGATAGAGGACCTCAGTTATGGGAGATGGAGGACCTCAGGTATAGGAGATGGAGGACCTTGTTTATGGGAGATGGAGGACTTCAGTTGTGGGTGATGGAGGACCTCAGTTATGGGAGATGGAGGACCTCAGTTATGGGAGACGGAGGACCTCAGTTATGGGAGATGGAGGACCTCAGTTATGGGAGATGGAGGACCTCGGTTATAGGAGATGGAGGACCTTGGTTATGGGAGATAGAGGACCTCAGTTGTGGGTGATGGAGGACCTCAGTTATGGGAGATGGAGGACCTCAGTTTTGAGGAACATCTACAAACAATAAACCTATTCTCCCGGGAGAAGAGATGCTTAAGAGGGGATATGATATGAATATACTGTTACAGAGGTAAGGATAGTAGTAGGATTGATTGTGAGCGGGGAGTGTAGATAAACTAACAGAACTTTTCCTTAGGGATCACAATGTACATGGATATGAAAAATGACAGTGACAAACACACACTAAGGTTGAACTGGATGGACTGGTGTCTTTAATCCACCTTATCAACCATGTACAGTAACTTTCTCTCTCATTCTGTGTTCTTCTCCTTTCTCTCCATCTCCCAGGTTCTGCTGATCCATTGTGCAGTACAGGCTGGGTACACTTTGGCTCAAGCTGCTACTACCATTTCCGTGTAATACTACCATGGATAAAGGCCAAGGACAGCTGTGCGGACAAGAAAGCCCACCTGGTGGTCATTAATAGCCAGGATGAGATGGTAAGTATAGACAGGTGGAGGATGTAATGAATGTGTCATTTGTAGAGTACCTCTGATAATAGACATGTAATAAGGAGGTAATGAATGGTAGAGGGTGTGAATTCAGACAAGGGAAAGAACTGTAGATGTTATCAGATTTCCTGCAGACAGGAGAACACAAAGTCCCCCTTTACAGTACAGCTACTGTATGTACTTGGGAAAACTCTACCTTGATTTCCATTTTATGCTCACAATGATGATCTCGTAAATTTTGAGGAACTTAATTCTGTTTCTGCCTGGCAGGGTTCAGATCTGCAGATCAGAGTGTGATATAACCGTCATGAGGAGATTGAATTGTAAGCTCCCATGGTGCAGAAACTGTCAGCGCTGTGGGTTGACAAGGAAATAAACACAAACCATCAGAGGTCACGTTGTAACAATTTCCATCTCTTGTATTTTTTTCCAGGATTTTCTCCGTGAATTTTCACGGTCGCTGACTTTGTGGATCGGTCTCAGAAGGGAGGATGGATCATCCTGGAAATGGGTGGACGGGACTCCTTTGGCGAAGACTCCAAAGTAAGATATTGTCCCCCTCTCCACCCCCCAAACAAAAAAAATTCAGATGACCTAGTTTATAGCTGCAAAAACTGAATGTTCCACAAATGGGAAATATTTAATTTTCTGGACAGATGACAGCAGTGATGTCCGTTTTGTATGATGCTCGCAGAACTGATCAAAAAAATATTAATAATGCTTAAAGTGAACCATAAAACGTGTAATATTCCCTTAAATATCATTCATGGGGGGAGGGTGCAGTAAAGTACGTCTGTGATGTGGCTCACATATAGGATATAGGATCTATACAATCAACAGTGACAGTTACAAAAAAGAAAAAAGTATCTCCCACTAAATTACATTTCACAGCCATTTATATAAACACAAGGCAGCAGTGGGGGATTGTCATTTAGTGGCAACCCTTCATCTATCTCAAACCTATGACATGGATTATAGGGGGGACCCCAAGAAAAAAACAAAATAAAGCAAAAACAAATTACCTCTTGCATCCTAGCAACCAAGGATGCTGTGCAGATAAGCCATCCGCCTGAATTCTAGCAACAGGTGGATTTACACCAAGGGACCCCAACATCCACTGGGCCAGGGTTGTGGGATAATGTGCCATGGCAGTGAGGGTCTCCCCTGACAGGGTACCCCCCCCATGTTGACAGCATGAAGCCAGGGAGAGTGCACTCTCACTGCTCCCCACCCCCCTTTCCTAGCCAGCTTGGATGAATACTTGGAGAACAAAGACATGTGCTCACAATAGAGTCTAGTATAGAATTTGGGGAGACCCTACACGTTTTGGCATAAAATCCATGCATGACCCTCATCAAGGCTGAAGGTCTGGTATTGATTTTGGGGAAGGGGGGGCCTTGCTTTTTTTTTATGAGGGTCTGTTTTGAATTAAAAAAAACAGGAAAAAAGTGTGGGGTCTCTTCCAAAATCAACACCAGACACTTATCCAGGCATGCAGTCTGCCTGGCCAGGAAGGGGGTGAGCGAGCATGTGCCCCATCCCTAAACTAAACCAAGTCATATGACCTCAGCTCAGGGAAGGTATCTTGACAGGGGGACCCCTCAATAGCAAAGCTCTTTTTTATGTTGATGAGGACAAGGGCCTCTTCTACCCATCCCTGGCCAGTGGCTATGGGGACCTGTAAGGGGGGATATTGAAGTTTGGAAGCCCCCTTGAAAATAGGATGGCCATCCAATATCTGGCCTTCCCCTACATAAATGATTCACTAAAACAAATTGAGGTAAAAAGCTGAATGTAACCAAGCTTGTTCACATAACAGCAGGCAGCAGGACAGTGGTTGCTAGGACATGGGTGGACATTTGCATCTTAGCAACCAATGACATTAGTGGCCTACACAGTATGTTGTCATTTATTGATAGAGATTTGGATGGTTGAATGGGTCAAACTGTTCAGATGGTTTGTAAACATGAACAGGCAGAGTTTGATGTGAACTCTGCAATGCAGCGAGCCCAAATCCCATCCCTAAATTAAGTGATTTTACCTTCTTTACCAAAAATGTACCAGTTCTAGTTAGTACTTTGGCCTGATCACTCTTTTCTCTTGATTTCTGCAGGTTCTGGAGGCCTGGCCAACCTGATAATTGGGTTAACCCTTATGAAAGTGAAATGGAAGGTGAAGGGGAAGACTGCGCTCACCTTGTTGAAGGAGATGGCTGGAATGACATTTCATGTACCCTGAAATTCCCATATATCTGTGAGAAGACAAAATCTTGACTTGCTCTGCCGAATCCCAGAAATCATCTGACCTCTCCTTCAGGCTCATGACTTTCCCACCATCAACAGCAAAAGACAATCTATTAACCTAGGGCAAACACGGCCTTGCAGGACATGCTGGGATATGTAGTATCTGGGGAATGGTCGTGCTGTCCACACCAAACTCCAAAACCTTCTTCTCATGAAAGAGTTCATTTGTCTGTTGTCTTGTACTTCTTCCCAGACCCTTGTGTCTCTAGGCCCATACATCAGGAGCTGATACTCCCGATGATGAAAAAGTATTGAAGCATCATCTTCAAGGTGTGGTCAGAGCAAAGCCAAGAGTGGTGCCACCCACTGCGCTTCAGTGACCACACACAGTGTGCAGCTATGTATCTTATGTTTACCTACAAATACTCCAAAACACTATATTCAGACCCTAAGCTACATGTATAAAGAAACAAAATTAAATAAAATAAACTTAAAAAAAAAAAAATAAAGTATAAAGAGGAATTCTTCTATAGCAGCTTTTTACAGACAGAGGTATGCCGGTATCTCAACTCATTTCTTCATTGGACTTCGTCAGGGGGAGCCAATCTTGAGGGATCATTTTAAGAGTTTTTTTACTTTTTTATTCTAGGGCAGCCTTTCTAAGCCTCCAGAGGTTGCTAGGGGTTCCTTGACCAACGAGCAATATCCACCTCTCAGTAACCACTGACATCAATGATATTTTTAGCTATCTGTAAAGGGGACATTCTTCCCACTGACCCCCAATGTAAGGGACATTCTTCCCACTGACCCCCAATGTAAGGGACATTCTTCCCACTGATCACCAATGTAAGGGACATTCTTCCCACTGACCCCCAATGTAAGGGACATTCTTCCCACTGACCACCAATGTAAGGGACATTCTTCCCACTGACCCCCAATGTAAGGGACATTCTTCCCACTGACCCCCAATGTAAGGGACATTCTTCCCACTGATCACCAATGTAAGGGACATTCTTCCCACTGACCCCCAATGTAAGGGACATTCTTCCCACTGACCCCCAATGTAAGGGACATTCTTCCCACTGATCCCAAATGTAAGGGACATTCTTCTCACTGACCCCCAATGTAAGAGACATTCTTCCCACTGACCCCCAATGTAAGGGACATTCTTCCCACTGACCCCCAATGTAAGGGACATTCTTCTCACTGACCCCCAATGTAAGGGACATTCTTCCCACTGACCCCCAATGTAAGGGACATTCTTCCCACTGATCCCCAATGTAAGGGACATTCTTCTCACTGACCCCCAATGTAAGAGACATTCTTCCCACTGACCCCCAATGTAAGGGACATTCTTCCCACTGACCCCCAATGTAAGGGACATTCTTCCCACAGACCCCCCAATGTAAGAGACATTCTTCCCACTGACCCCCAATGTAAGGGACATTCTTCCCACTGACCCCCAATGTAAGGGACATTCTTCCCACAGACCCCCCAATGTAAGAGACATTCTTCCCACTGATTCCCAATGTAAGGGACATTCTTCCCACTGAACCCCAATATAAGGGACATTCTTCTAGACAGCTTCTTGCTGTATCATGAACACATGTCTCAGTTGGATAGTTTCCCTCCGAGGGGCGGACTGACCATTCGAGCACTCAGGCACTGCCCAAGGGCCCAGGGTCAGTAGGGGGCCCCATGAAATGCCCCAGGTACCTTTTTTATAGGCTTTTTTGAGTGTGGGCAAGGACACAGGGGCCCCATGATCCCCTATTGCCCGGGGGCCCCATGAGTTGTCAGTCCACCCCTGTCCCCTCCTTTCCAGCCTGTTCTAATGACAACTTTAAAATATTGGATACCTCCCCGGCACCACCCGGCTTTTAGTCCCAGTGATAGTGGGCCCAGGCAGCATCCAAAACCTGACAGGGGGTCTAATCACTTAATGGAAAAGGGAAACATCCTTGAAGTCACATATCTCTGCAAGACCCCATAAGAAGGTATATGACAGCCCCAGACCAGGATCCAACCAGGCCACGTCCCCAACATGTTTCACTCCACCCATGATGCTGAGTCATGGGGATAAGGATCCCAGGTATAGGGGGGAAATAATTGCATCATCAACTGCCATTTAATGAAGACAAATAGGTATTACGTGAATATTAGCCTTACACTGAGACAACACAGCATGAAAAATCCGATGTGCAAATGCATAAAGAAAATATATACTTAAAAAAAGGCCAAAGCATACAGAGGATAAATATGAACACTAAAAAAAAACAGTGATGGCAAACAATGAAAAAATTATAAAAATGAAGATGTATCCAAAAGGGAAAAGTCCCCAAAAGCAGCTCAAAAACAACAAAAAAAGGAAAAACAGAAGTAATCATACTGTAGCTGACAAATTTTTCCAAGGCACCCAACTTTATCAAGGGTCACCTAAAATTTTTGTTTAGTTCAAGAACTTCAAGTAGCTCAAAACTGTCTTTTTGAGATATATAGCTTAATTCTAATGAGTAATCATTATAATAAAATAATTGAAATATTGAAAGAACTGGGAGCCATCATGTACCCAGTAGCCACCATCCAACAGCAGAAGAACATATTCTGCCTTCCCTGGTCCCCCCACCCTCATCCACATGCTAAAGACATTTTTAAATAAAACCTTTCCATTTCTATTAAATTATATATTTCATACCCAGTGACATCATTGTTGGGTCTCAGTGTTTGCAGACAGATGGGGCGATTGGCATGAGCAAAATTTTTTACTACAGGGATTGGGGCACCCTGTGCTAGGTTCCTTCTGTTGCAAGGCTGACAGGAGTAGTGACAGCGGCATCACTACTCTTGTCAGCTCAGCGCCGGGAGCAGTGAGGAATGAGCCAAAAGGAGGTGCAGGTTGCACACTCCATAAGCATGCATATCATGAAGGGAAGGGGGGGGCACAGATTGGCATCTTTGCCCTTTGTGCTGAACGACCTTGTCCCGGCAGTGCCTGAACTTCCATGAATGAAAGACCTGAAATCCGATGAGTGAATGAGGTGGGTCACTGACCTTCCTAGGACTTCTCCACCAAAAGGTGGGCAGGATCTCCAGGTGTGACTCCGGCACTGGAGCAGAACACCCCAATTGTCATGCAGACCAACAAAGGCAGATATTCATACCATCCGTCTCCATTTCAAAAATAAACCATTTATTTGGTTCTACAAAATTTCCAGTACAATGAAATATGGAA